CACCGGTCTCACCAGTAACCCTTTTGTCAAGCAGAAGTTCACCGGTGATGGCGTCGACACCGGCAAGTTCATCTCATGAAACGAGTCCGGCAAGTGATGCATCGGGTGCAACTTCAGCATATGGATTCTCAGTTATTTTTCTGTTTAGTGTGGGCCTTTTGTTTTGCTCCCGCCTGGTCTTATGACGGTGAGGCAGGGCAATTTTAGTCATATATCGCTCTGCTTTATTTACTTTTTAATAATTGTTTTCCTATTTGTATTTGTTGAACAAAGTCTTTCCACTAGTTCAAGAATATTAATTTATTTGATTCAATTCTCATTGTGTATTACCTTTGTTTTCCTTTCTTTTTTGCCAACTTTCTTTTTCTTTTCATGTTATATTGTCCTTTAAGCATGAGTTTTCTCCGGCCTAAACTTAATCATATCGGATTGAAGGGTAAAGGGTACACATTATGAATAGTTACATGAACTGGGATTCCGAGATGGTAATGCAACTCTCAATTATTATCATTTCAATTTAAGGTACACAATAGAAAGAATACTTAGGGTTTGGAAGAATAGATTTCAAATCTTATGAAATATATGTAGTTACGACTTCCAGATATTAAACTGATTTGCAATAATTTTTTTCACTCATTAAATTTGACTTCTTATATTAAATTATTTTAATTTCATTGTATTATGAGAAATCAATTTTTTAATCATGTTTCCTTATTTATTAAAATTCATATCTATTTTGATTATTTTACAACCAAACTTACTTTTATTCAATTCTAACCCAAACAAACTTTTAACAATCTCACTTTTATAAACTAACGTTCTTGAACTCCAATTCTAACACAATTCAACTTATTCAATTTAACTTTTACCCAACTTTACTTTTTCAAAAACTAAATTAACAATAAGCTATTTTTTCAATCTCTAGTCTAAATGGATCCTAAACCGCAGTCAGAGTTTACAACATTTGCAAGTGTACGGCACTTGACAGCGACTTGCTAACTCCTCTGCTCATAACCCCACCACCGGCAGCTTCACCCCCCCTCCCTCTGTTTTTTTTTTTGGGCCGACCACCATTTTTTCCTCACATTGTGAAAAATCGAGTATTTCTTAATTTAATTGAGTTATGTTGCCGGTAATAATATTCATGAAAACAAAAATTCGAATATCAACATATAAATTTAAGGAGCAAGTAGCAACCACTACTCATAAATCAAACACAGATAAGTCTTGTAAATAAAATTATTTTAATAAAGCGCCAGTGCAAACCACATTTTAGAAATTAATATGAATATGCTCTCTAAGTCATGGTCGGAAGAAAATAATGGTGCCGTGGTTCTTCAAAAAAAAAAAAAAATCAGTGGTAGAGAAAGTTGGCCATTAATTTGGTTGAAGACCTGGTGAGTGTCGTCTGCCACGCTCCGTCCAAACGAGGAAATGAAAAAAGTGCAACAGTGAGACCAAGAAAACGACCCCTCCGAAGTCACCATCATCTTATTTCCATTTTAATTCTGAATATAGAACTTTAATTTCTTTTATTTCTAATATTTATCTCTTTTTTTTTACATCAGGTTAATTTAGCTAACTAATAAATTGATATATAAGAATATTTAAGAAAATTTTATTACATTTTGCAGAATTAAAGAATTTCTTACGTCAAGTATTGGGAAAGTAAGTTTTTTCATGTAGATATTTTCTTCGGCTAATTTCTCACGTTTTTTTTTTCCAATTTAATCTTTCGCAGCAGTGCTACTGAAACCTACAATTGCAGATAATTTTTTTTTTTTTTGGTTTTGACCACATGTGTATAACTCAAAAAAGTGTTTCGATAGAAACTGAATTATTGTTTTAAAAATAATTTTATAATGTACAAAATGAATATGTGGAAAAAATTTATTTTAATTTACATGAAAATATTTTTTTAAGTGATTTTGGGTTTTCCAAACACGCCAATCAGATGGGGAAGCTTCTTTTTTTTTTTTTTTTTGAGGAGGATGGGGGTTTACTGTGCCTGATAAATTAGGATTAAGTCTATTTCAAGACGACATCAAGGAGCACTCTCCCGTGAATCTTTCAGTCAAGTTTTGGGTATTTAGAAAGATAAATATTTCAGGCGTGGACCGCGATGAAAACTAAAACATCTAATTAACAGAATGAACTCTAAGCATATGTGCTTACATTTTATTCCAGCCTTGGGGCGTCCAAATTCTGAATAACTCCTTTCACTCAAATCCTGTTCCTAGCCAGGCATGCTAGCTCTGAGCAGAGCAATGAACTCACATTTTACGAACTCTGAGTAAATTATGCATATTTTCTATGAACTTGAATTATTTTTTTTCAAAAAATAAACTGCCCCTTTTCTTTCTTTGTTTTTCCCCCCCTCTTTTTGGCCAGAAGAAGTATTCATTCATTCAAACAACAAAGTCATTACAAATACCAATCTAAAAGTAGCCAGCCAATGAAATACATCAAACTCAACTCTAAAAACTACAAATAGAGCCCTTAACACACCACGATACTGTGAAGTAAATTTCCAAATTCCCAAAAGATAAGACTGCAAAGTTGTGTCCAGTGATCCTTGATAACCGCAGGAAAAGGTGGTTGTCGTATGACTTGTTTAAATATTGAGCCCAACCCTTTATATACCAATCAATGTTTTAAGAACCGGATCGGACCGGACGGTCGAACCGGTTGAACCGTGACCCGGACTCGTTAACGACTCGGTTTGGACCAAAAAACCGTTCATATAGTTGAGCCGGATTGGATCGGAGTTGAGTCGTAATTAAGCCGGAAACCGGAGTTGGACCGGAAACCGGAACGGTTTTCAGAAAACCGGACGGTTTTTTAGCCTGACTGAAAAAATACTAAAAATTTAAAAAAAAATAGAAGAAAAATAAAAAAATTGATCCCCTTAAATATCCTAATATATTTTTAGACTATTTATAACCATAGAGTATTATTTCATTGAAAATTTCATATATTGTGGTGTTAAAATGTGAGTCGCTAGTCTTTTTGTTTTGATATTTGGTCTATCGTTTAAAAAAATATTTTGATTTGAATGAATTGATAATTTGTAATATCATTAAATATTTTAAACATACATAAATTTAAATATATAAGGTTTTAGTCCATTTTCAATGATTTCATTATAATTTTAGATTATTTAAATGCATTTCTAAATTATTTAATAATTTGATATTTTTCATATATACTAATTATATGTATATAATATTGTTTTAAATTAATTATTGCATCACCGGTCTGACCAAACGGTCCGACCGATCCGACCGATTGAACCATAACCCGTTGATCTTTTCGATTCGACTTCCGGTCCGGCTTTTAAAACATTGATACCAATGCTGCATTTTTATCAGCAGCTTTAACAGCCCCTCTCATACCAAGAGGGAAAGAACACTGAAAGTTATTGAGAACTTTCAGCCCCTTTTCGAAACCCGCGTACCCATTCTAAAAAGCAAGTTACATAAACCTTCACAGGTTTTTATTGAAATGACGTAGATTTTCTTTTCCGTTTTCAAATTCTACACAAATTTGCTATGAAATAAAGAGAAAATTACAAGAATTTAAGGAAATAAGAACAATTTTTTTTTTCCAAAGAGAAGTCAAGTTAATTTAGGTTTTCAAGATAGAAATGAAATCCATGCAAATTTAATGTAACACACGACACGAGGAGAGCCAAAAAAAATTTCCGAAGATAATTACACCGAATGTCAGAGATCTGTGGGATTAATTCACAATAAGTGATGTCTGTGCGCTCTTTATGTTTTCCGAGCCAACTAGTCATGGGATAAAATAAGCACATATTTTGGCGCACATGGTGGTGGGGCCGGAAAACGCTTGGATCATATCCAATTTTATTTTATTTTTTCAAATGAAATATCGAATCACGTCAACATAAGCCAGGGACATGAAACAGTCAAAAGAGGGCACCATCAAAGCCTTTAAATATGAAACGCCACCGACCACCGTCTCACCAATATTCTAAAATGGTGGGTCTTCAAATTAATATGTCAAAAATAGCATTAGAGAACTGACACCAAACATATTTAATATGTCGAAAATAGCAAAACATATTTTTTCTTCTCTTTCTTTTTGCCAAAGCCGACATTCTTTTTTTTTTTCGGTGACAAAAGAGTGAGTAAAAAACTACGTGTCCGATCCTCTAGGGATTACTATTCCTGCAGCGTCTTTGTGGAGGATGTCAACAAAATCACTCGGCGGTGACTCCCACAGAACCCAGCTTTCTTCCAGGTAAACGCTTTTCTTAGCTAATTTATCGGCACATCTGTTGCTTTCCCTGTATGCGTGTTGGAACTTCAGCTGCCAGTCTTGCTTCATCAGTTCTCTTAAGTATTTCGTGAGGAATGGGTCCCCTGCAATTTCACTGTTGCTGTTTATCTGTCTGATTACGACTTCTGCATCTGCTTCAATGATGATTTTTCTTAGTCCCAGTCTCCAGCACAGCTTTAGCCCTTCTATAATCCCCCAGAAAAGCCGACATTCTTTAACCACTGAATACCGTCACTCGTATGTTAGGCGGGCCTTGCTAATTATGCCTGTTTTCTCTTTTCAAAGGCTGCGGGCTAACTATAAGTTGGCACAGCGTAATGAGATTTATGTTTAAATAGATATTTATAAAAAATTAGTTAGAAAAGTTAAAGATGTTTTTGGATTGGTGTTGGGCAAAACTGACTTCTAGTCTGATGGATTTTCATGATTAAAATTAGAGTAAAAATCAATTAGTATGATATGATTTGTGTTTGAATAAGTATTTATAAAAACTCAATTGAAAAAATTAAAAATTATTTGGACAATTAAATAGAAAAATGAGTTCCGTGGGAGCTTCTTCCGAAACATGAATTTATATAATTAATGACCGACACTAACATCTCCTGTCTCGCTAACCATACTTATTCAGGCCATTTAAACCTGCAGGAAATTATTCTCCGCTTTCTTCCTCATCTCTCATGTTTCTGCTCTTCCGATAACCGATTGTCACCAACAATAATATTGAGCTGGTATCGTTCTAACAATCTTCACAGTCTAACAGTGAAATATAGTTTGACAGCAAGCTTTACAAGTTGCTAAAAAAATTAAGAGTAGTATGTACACACACACACAGAGAATGGGACTATGCATACTGCATAGGTTAAAGAGGAAGAAGCGGCTACAAGGGGTGTTGACCAGATTAAAAAGGTTGATCAATCTAGTAAGTAGGTATACAGAAAGATGACAAGGCAAAAACAGAGTAAACATGTGGTATGTTTGTGAGATGATGCATGAATGCCTTTATATAACACCGACAACTTGTGTTAGTCGAAGGTGCTTGTCGCGGATATGTGTATATGGCGGTGACCAGCTGGATTATATTCCCTGAACCTGATATTTTGCCACCCGCCTCGAATCTGGCTTTCAATTCTCATTCGACCATGCCTTTCTTGGACAGTGTTAACATCGCCTGTTGGACTGAATTAATTAGACTGGCCAATTTTAGCAGTGAATTTGTAAGTTTAATTATTAGCTTCCCCTGTATACCTGGTCCACATTGATGTTCTGACCCCTGGTGGTGGAGATGTGATCTCTTGTCCAATTACCGGCAAAGTCATGAGAATTGAGTCCACAAGAATTTTGCAGAGCTCCCTACTGTTTCATCCCGAGAATCCAGTAAGACAAGCAATACTCAATAACACAAATGTTCATTTTAACTATATATATAATAAACGCCGAGTTATTTATTTCAACACCCCCTACATGAGGGTCCAAAAGCATCATCATGCCACAACTTACATTCAAGGCTTCAGAAAAAGCCTACACATCTATTTCAAAGCTCAATGATTGTTGAGTTCACATATTGGATTTTCCGCCCTCTGTGTACAAGACAGACCTCCAAGATGGGTTCCTCGGAACAAACGTGTCCTGCCAACAACATCATCCGTCACGCAAGGAATAAAAACACTCATACTCACACCATTTTGGTATGCAGGTTTAAAGCCGCAACTTTGGCACATAGGAGGTGATATAGTTAACTCTGAAAAGCAGAGATGATTGGTTCACACCAAAAATCAACACAGGAACTTGCTAAAAATCGTAGACACGATGACACGAAACTAAACCAAACTAGCTATCCCACAGGTGAATTGCAGGATGAGCCGATGCTCTGTGGGGACATGAAATGTTGAATATGCTTAAATAACTTGAATGCTGAAATGATGACCATGAAACATGGCCCAGTCGAGATTCAAGCTTACAATGATAACTGATGCCAATAACTAAACAAGTATTTTCTATTTCTTATGAATTGCTCCGGCCAGTTAAGATTTAATATTATAAATGCTAATATTTGTCAGTTACTAAAAACTGGTCTTGTATACAGAGACTGCACAAAACGAAAGGATAGCAAGCTCTGACCATAAGACCTATCTTGTTTGTGAAAGGGAAGATCGTCCTTTGTGCACAAGCAGTTTAATTTAAGGTTACGCTTTCAAGTAAAGTAAGTTACTGAGTTATGGGTCTTCCATAATTCTAATAGGTAAATTGGGGGGGGGGGGGGTCAGAACAGTTAACACACTTGCCGCTGTAGTTGTGCAGTGTAAATGAAACAAACACGGAAAGGGGATGGAAGAAATCGAACTCACAGAGACGTAAGAACAGGTTGGGATAACCGAGAGGGAATGGGACTGGGCGTGACGAAAGGCGGCAACACAGAGATGAGAGGCCAAGCCCAAACTCCTCTTGGAAGAGGGCACAAAAGTGTGGATCAAGTCCATGACCTTACCATCATTTCTCAGCACGTACTGTATATACGACTCCTTGTCCTCCGTCTCGAACTTGTGCTGTCTTTCGTTCAAAACTATCTTCGGAACAGCCTTGGCGCCACTCTGCCCCTCCGATTTGGTCGTCGCTGCCATTGCCCCCGGTGTCTGCGTTGTGCGTTGACATCAAGCAATTGATTATGCACATATCAAAAGTCAAAACCTCAATTGATTAAGGGCAAGGCAAGGCAAGGCAAAAACTGAGTAAAACAAAAATAAATAAGGGAAATTGCAGTGTTCGAGGGAGAAGAGTGACGATTGACAGGAGAAGAGGGAAAGATAACCCACCGAAAGAGAGGGGAGAGCGCGAGATGGCAAAACAAGGAAGGGGGAAGGGGACGCTTTTAATCAAGGAAGGAAAGAGATTGGTAAACGCAATGGCAAAAGGAGGCACGAGGGAATAGAGATGCCTGTTTGCATCGCATGTGACATGAGAACCAGGACGGCATGGTGGATTAAGCGATTCATTTACCGCAATACGCATCTCCATACACAAGATGTTTTTTCACGCTTCCAATCCCATCACCCTTTCGTTAATTAACAAAATACCATTAAAATAATAACGATTAGCACAAAAAAATTATCAACTGAGACCGATAGTGATAAAAAATTTAAAAACAGGAGCGACTTCAAAAAATAAACGGAGACCTCAGAGACCATAGTCCATATATTGCAATCGTTCCTTCGGCTTTCGTTAGCTGTAGCCTATCTCCATTTGGTGTGTTGACATTCACTTGACAACATTGGGTGGCTTGATATTCGCATACACGTGAGGATAATACTTAAAAAACAGAAATGAAAAAGACTCCAGTAATATACTAGAATGTTACCCCCGCACACGCATAATTAGAATTAAAAGTTAATAATAAAGAATAATTGCTGTTGAATAATTAGTATAAAAACACCAATAATTCTTATATATCTTAATTATGTACCCAAAAAATAAAAATTTCTTTTGCTACACAAGCAATAGTTAACTTTTCCATTGATCATTTTTCAAATTGTCTCACCTTTCCATACCTAATGGCAGGTCAAGCAAGTATTCCTAAACTATTCAACAATAATAACTTCTAGAGATGAATTAAAAATATAATTAAGATCAATAAAAATATATATTTGATATTTAATTCTTTTTCAGACTGCCCGTATTAATTGATTAACATGATGCCTACGTATTTAACGATACTAACTTCGGGGCAGAATGTGATGGAGAAAATCAGAAATTCAGAATAGGATAGATAGAGTCACGAAATCCTATCATAACAATAAGACGCAGGAAAATCAAAACTCGGAAAAACTGTTGGAATCCGCGTATAAGATACAGGGCGTGTCTCCTGAAAAAAATAGTTATAATAAACTGCAGTCACAAGAAATGCATAATTATGGTACATCATAAAAGATTTACTGATCGGCTATCAACTATAACGGCATAACCCCATACGGCCTAATTTCAATCAGCACGGGATTGGCCAGCACGAGATGACAGAATGATACCCACGATGAGGCCGTAGAGGGCCAGAGCTTCCGCAAAGATCAGAATAAGAATCATTCCCACGAACAGCTTTGGTTGCTGGGCGTTCGCCCTGAAAAATCAGCAACAAAATACCTACCTCAGGATTTTCATCTATGACGTGATTAAAAGGGGAAACAAAATGGAGCACAGGCAGGTGCGCAGATGCTCACACGCCCACAGATAAGAAGATGAAGCAATACGACGATTGGGTGTCAGAAATGAAAGCATCAGAAAACATAGAAATGCAATAGGTAAACTACCAGGCCTCAAGTGCCAAACAAGCGTACAGAAACGCAAAATGCTTGCAGAGATTACTCAAAAGTTGCACAAAATACAATTCTCAAACATACGAAGTTCCTTCAATTGATGCTAAATTCATTCATATGCAACTTGTCTCTCGAAGTGCCAATTGCTACCAATTACATACAGCAACTATGACAGCAATGCTCTGATATTCCTCCAATACCTCCAATTAAGAAGATAAATAGTAGGTTCCTTGAAGTTTTACCAGGAGTCGACATAGTCTTATTTTACACTTCATATGGTTGACAAGCCCAGTTTATCTTCAGTAATCAATTTTTCATCTTACCATTGTTTGCACCTGTATTCTATTTCTAGGTCCAGGACTGCATGTAATCAAGCTATTTACAAAATCAAGTACGAGACCGAAAAAGAAAAGGATAGAGTAAGAAAAATACTTGTAAAAAGAAAAGAAAAATAAAACATACCGAACTCCAGCATCACCAACAATTCCAATCGCCATTCCGGCAGAAAGTCCGGCAAGGCCACAGGCAAGGCCGGACGATAAGTGGGCATACCCATCGAAGAGATAGTAAGATTTTGCTTTCGGGTTAATTCCTGTACTAATAATAACAGCTATGATTAATCCATAAATACCCAGCACTCCAGCCATTACCACTGGGACAATGGATTTCATGACGAGCTCTGGCCTCATAACTCCCATAGAGGCCACGCCTACTCCACTCTTTGCTGTTCCGTAAGCGGCTCCCATACCTGATATTGAAGTTTAGTGGGGGAAAAAACTAAGCATGTCAAATTTCATTGTTATCTATTCCAAATCGTTGTTTGCTGGGATTAGTACAGAGTACAAGAAAACACAATCCCAACATCACTCGACTGCAAATTTTCAATGCTATCTGTTCCAAAGCGTTGTTTTCTGGGAGCGGAGTGCAATAAAACAGAAACACAATATCACAGGGATCAATGATTAAAGTAACTCGAATAAGCGCAAATCGAAAGAGAGGGTGACGCATGGTTTCCCTGATCATCGAATAGGAAAGAGTTTCCCAGTTATTGAAAGTGAAACGTGCTAACAAGTACTAGTCTTCATACATAAGCTTCCACGATGTCAGCAATGCGAAAATCCCTATGAAATTAATTTATCGTTCGGATTCCCTTTACTCAACTTCCAAGACGGAACATAAAATTAATATCATAAATGGCAAGTTCGTTAATTGCATATTTCTTTGACCCAAACAGCCCGAAAACCATAAAATTACGCCCAAGTGCATTTACATAGAAGTTTAGAAAGTTACAGGAGAAGACAAGGGCAGCAGCGGCTCCAAGGAAGCCAAAGAATGGAGCAGTTTCGTCACCGCTGAAACCTGCCATCGTTGATCACTGTCGAAGAGGCAGAGGGATCTTTCTTTGTGGTAGGGATGACGAAGGCCGAGAGAGATCGGTTTCAATGATTGAGGGGGAAATTGTGAATCGGGGTGATGATCGCGCCAGCCACGGGGAATGGGGGAAGTTTCGCCCAGCCGTCTCATTTACCATTATACCCTTGTCCCCTACTTACTAACTGTTGAGCCTCATTCCCTCCCTTTCTATCTTCTTCTTTTTTCTTTCTTTTTTTTTTTACCATTAGGTTAATATTTTAATAGTTCGCGTTTAAATCTTCTTAAAATTTAAAATTTTTTATAATAGTTTATAAAAAATTAAAATTTAAACTATTAAAATATGTTAATTTAATAATAAAAAAAAAAGGATGAGAAGGGAAAAAAAGAGGCTTCAAACGGGACGCCATTGCCATCACCCTTTTTTTGGTACTGTGTAGCGACACATTTTAAGGGAGTGTCTGGGTAAGAATAAAACTATAGTTTCAAAAGTGCTTTTCGGTATACGAAGTAAATATGTAGAGAAATTTGTCTCGATTTGTCAAAAAATACTTCTGAAAGTGCTTCTAGAGTTACTCAAACACCTCCTAATAGGTCTTTCTTGCATCGCTTCTGATTGGGCTACATCAAAGCCCATTGTTTTTTCCAAACAGCTTCAATCTACAGAACCCATTTGATTTTGGGCCTCATTGCCAATATCAACCGAGGAAACCCCTTCTTAATTCTGGCTTATTTATGATATTTTATATTTGTCTAACAATATGGTCTAATATATAATTATATAAGTATATTTAAATCATAGTAAATTCTAGATAATAATATAAAAAATTATATTTATGACAAATAGGAAAACCATGAAGTAAAACAAGAAAGAAAGTTATGATGTACGTTAAACATAATAGCACCTGATGGCCAAAAGAAACACACAAGAGCACCGCTTTAAACTACATGTCTTGTACCACTGTAACTAATAACTTGGAAATAGAAAAAGGAAATATTAAACGAGAATGAGGCTAAAAGCACAGATGCTGGAGCCTTTCACGCGGTTCTCCATAAATTTTATGGTCGATTTTTTTTTAATCATTAATATTAATTACTCCTCCGGTCCTTAATATAAGACCCATTTAACTAATTTGATTAGATTAAGGAAGTTAGGTAAGTTGGTTAATTATAAGAAAAGTGACACATTTTTCCTAAAATACCATAATCATCTTTCTTAATACCCCTCCTTTCTCTTATACTTGATTATGGTTGAAGGAGTATCCATAGGGGTAATTTAGAGAAAATTGATAAGTATAAAGTATGGATCTTATATTTAGGATTAAAACTAACTCAAAAATTAAGTTCTATATTAAGGACAGAAAGAGTATTATACTTTTGAGAGCATTATCAGAGTCCAGAAAAAGAGAAGGCCCAACTGCCCAAGAATTCTCGAGAGAACCGAGGAGAACAGAGAATATTTAATAACGATATAAACGCGACCGGCGAGCCGTCTTTTGCAGAGAGAGTGAGAGGCTGAACCCTGCGGCAGTGTTTAACGATTGATAGGGGGAGATGTTCTTCTTCTTCGTTGGCGGGTTGGAGCAACAGGTGCGTCAGGTGCTGAAATCGGGTGTGGGCAGATGTATAAACTGTAGCTCGCCGGCCGATCTGGTGGAATACGAGAAGGTGCTGAAGCTCTTCTTCGTTCCCGTATGGCGGTGGCCCGGCAAGGAGCCTCTTTTGTATTGTAACAACTGCAAGTTCTTCTTCCCTCAATCCTACTCCTTGCCACCGCCGCCCCAGTCCACCACGTCACCGCCGGAAGTCTCCGATGTATTGCGTTGCCGATTCTGCGACCGGATTGTGGAATCGGACTTCAGATTCTGCCCTTTCTGCGGCTCCGAACTGTAATTTACTTCTTATTCCCTCTGTCTGAGTTTTGGCTGTTATTGACTGCATATGGGAGTTTTGGAATGGTCGTTCGGTTCCAACTAATAGGAATTAAGAAGCGATTAGGTGTGATCACTGGTGTTGTATTCCGATTATATGGACCCCAATGCTTATTATGTAAATAAGATTCATGCGAGTCTTGTGCCAATTTCGTTAATGATCCTTCTTGACTGCATCGCTTGCGTTTGTTTAAAATTACGGGTCGACAAAATTATTCAACGAATTTATGACTGTCTCATTAGTAATGCCTGAAGTCGTATGAACACGAATCATTCAGGACCCTCTAAATTATCTTTGGGAAAAAAAAAAAAAGCAGCCTATACTTACACGATACCACAGATGCCCCGCTGTTTCCGTGGTGAGGTGAAGCCACCAGTTGAGATGGTGGTGGTGTTAGAACAAAGATTATTTTTGCAAAGAGACATGAATTTGGGGATTGCCTCTGATCAATTAGCAGTGCCACCATGGCCCAAGGGGATGCCTCTGCAAGTGCCACGGGCAATGCTTTATTAGAGTGAAGAAAGAGCAGCATAAAGCCTCAATATTTGTTTTTGTTATCACTTACTATGGTAGACGCATTGAATACGACCCTTATTTACAGAGGATATGCATTTATATGCTGAATGGTCATACTCCACAGCTGATCCAAACAGCCGATTAAACAATAAAACCAAAGGGTCATTTTGCTCTCGGAGCAGGCGGATGGACAGCGTCCATGTTAATATGAATGCATCCATGAAATTTGGAGCTAATGCTAAGCATCTTAGGAAACTCCGAAACAGTGTGAAGCGGCTTTCCAGAGGACACGAGCTTCCTTCAAAGCATAAAATTTAAGAAAAATATTTACATCAAGTTTCTTATATCTATCGTGTTAAGATTTCAATCATATATGACTATGTGTTCTATTTTTTAAATATTAACATTTAATACTCCTCCGGTCCTTAATATAAGACCTATTTAACTAATTTGATTAGATTAAGAAAGTTAGGTAAGTTAGTTAATTATAAGAAATATGACACGTTTTTTCTAAAATACTATAATCATCTTTCTTAATACTCTATCTTTCTCTTCTACTTGGTTATAGTTGAGGGAATATCTATAAGGTTAATTTAGAGAAAATTGATAAATATGAAAAATGAATCTTATATTTAGGACTAAAACCAACTCAATAATTGGGTCTTATATTAAGGACAGAAATAGTAACATTTAATTATAAATCCATATAAAATAAAATAGAAAACACATGGTCATGTATGGTTGGAGAACAATCGACCTAACACCAAGTCACCTCTTTGAACCATTTAGGTTTTATAAAAAGTACAATACTTGCAAAACTATATTATATTATACATATTACAATACTATTTCTGATTTTTAATATAAAAGCTAATTTGACATTTAATTTGATTTTAAATATAAGACTTTAATCTACTTTATCTTTCATATTTATTTATTTATTTTCAAGGTTATTATATGTTAAATGTTTCGTCAAATAATAATTATACATATGATTAATAATGACATTTTAGGAAAGATAATATCTATTTGTTACAAATAACTAACTTAATTAATTTTTTTAATTTATTTAATTTAGTTAACTAACTTTTATACTAAAGACATGAGACAGCATATTAATAGTAGAATTTAATTAAACAAACACCTAAATTTACAAAAATTTAATCGCGCCGGTGCAGAAGTACGGTTTTTTTTTTTTTTGGGTGATGCCACTCGCTTCTGGTGCTTTTGCGGTTTCGCCTCCAAGTTACGTTGGTTAAGAAGGTTTTGCCCCCTTGTTTTTGGTTACCATGTTTTCGTGAGGGTAATGAATGTCGAATAGTGAATTGAGAGGCAAAGGGAAAGAAAACATCGAAACCCCACTAAACAGTTATCCACTGCCGTCTTTAATTTCCCTACCCTTGCGCTCATCATCGTCTTCTTCCTTCTTTGCTCTGGGTAGCAATCTTCCATCATAAAGCTGCGTGCTTTGGATTACTTTCTGTGCTCAAAGTCTCACCCAATCGCCTGAGACACGCTCGTTCCTCTTGCTAACTTCCAATCCATTTCCTTCTTTCGTCGCTGTCGCTCTTTCGCGTTGACCGTCGCTGTCGCCGTTCAAGCTGCTGATCTCTGACATTAGATGGAGAAATCCGTGTTTAATAGAGATGCTCACCAGAATCGAACATTTTCCTATTCATGTTTTTCTCAGAGAGATGTCTGTTACAGGTTCAGTCTCTCCCTTTCCTCCCTCTCTCCAAGATTCTGCTCTGCTCTACCGAAATGTGTTGATCAATTTTTTTTTTTAAAAAAAATCGTTGGGGAAGTTGGAATCTGAATTCCGTTTTGGCTTTCAGTCGTTAGTGTTTCAAGTGTAATAAATTCCATTTCAGAATACTGGTATGCAATTGAATCGAATTCTTGATTTTGGGGGGTGTCAAACGCAGTTGTCGTTGTCAAGAGTGAATGAGATTTTTAAGGGCTCTATTTTGTTATTTCAATTTCCTGTGTTGCGAATTATGACTGATGATAAGGATCACAAGATAAGAGGCCTTTTCCATGAGTGGTAGGTCTTTGCTAATCTTTGTGGGAAGTAGGAACACGTCATATAATGATAAGGGATACATGGATGATGCTCGAAGCAAAATTAAATTTAGATAAACAACGTACAGAACGTAAATGCTTTGAAAACTCTGTTCAGATGGCATTTTATTGATAATCATTGAATCGCCCAACATGCCTTTAAATATGTATTGCAGCTGCGCCGGATAGAAGAAACCAAATCACCCCATTCTTTAATTCAACCACAAGGGATAGAAATTACCAACAGACTAGAGAAAATATAGAGACAGAACGAACATCAAGTCTTTACCTGTGTCAATGATCTACTACTCCGGAATTTAAGCATTTACGGGTGACTTTAAAATCACATCTTCAACATAAGATACAGACCAATTTCTTCTTTATCAACTGAGAGAGAAACTTCGGTTGTTTTCCCCTTCTCCTGATCTCGAAGGGCGGGAAAATCTATACTTCGTTCGTATTCTGGATTTTGTAGTGATATAATTGATCTTGTTAATTTGAAGGATGCGGTGTAAGCTGCTATCATAATGCCACTTTTATGCATTATCTGTCTGCAGAAGAATGAAAAAAGATTGGATTGTGGACATTACTTTTAAATGTGATCAAATCGTCATGACAAAAACAAGCAAGGTCATGCTTAATTTGGGTCTTCCAGTCCCGTTTTGGAAACATCTTAAATTGGAGAAAGCTTGGTTTCCTCCTTTTCCTAGCTGAGTATGATAGTAGCAATCGCTTTTTCTCCCTCTTTTTCACTAGAGTATGTGATTTAGGCTGGTTTGAGTGTCCTAGTTTAGAAAATGTAGGGAGGGATTCTATATTTACATTCCACTCTCAAAGTAAAGAAGCCATATCTTGTATTTCCAATTACTTTCTTTTGTTCATTCTGGTTCGTTCTGCAGCAATTACTGTATCTTATTTTCTTTCTGTTTGATTTGGCAGCTGCGGTGCTTGTGGATATGAGCTGAATCTGACATCCTCCAACCGGAACACCTCAACCATCGGTTCGAAATACGGGAAATCCATAAAACGAGGTATAATATCATTCTTCAATATTGATGAAAGCAGATTTACGCAGGTTGATGAGATTCAATGCGTGCCCCATTTCTCAAAGCACTCTTGGGGTTTGTTTCGACGAAAAACAAAGCTCCTTTGCAGGAAGTGCGGTAACCATATTGGGAATGCGTACAACGGTCACAGTTCGACCCTTGTTCTTGTGTCTGATGGAACAGAGCCATCCTTAAGCAACGAAGCATCCCCTCATATGAAGTATGACATTCGCATCCGTGCATTGCAGCCTTCGTCTTCTGAGGAATGTGGAGCCCCTGTTTTGGCTTGACGTTTCTGCCCAAGTTTGTTTCCTCTCTTCTATACTGCTAATGCATAATGCCCCCCGCGGTCAGAAGATTCGTAGAGGAAGTAAATAGTGTACGTAACGTTATGGTAAGGTTTTTGTGTTCCTCCTTCTCGAAGGAAAGTTATTGATTGTTGATTAATGTGTACATGAGTCGTAAGAAGCAAACCGGAAGATATCACGTATTTGGGATTTTCAGAAATTGGATTAAAATGTACATCACTGGAAGATAAAATGTTGATTTGTTTGGAATAGGAGTTGTATAGTTCAGTATAACCGTGCGGGACAAGGTATTTAGTGCCAGGAGGATCTCGTCTCTTCTTCTTCCTCTCTCTTTCCCTTGCATCTCTTGTGGGGAGAAGAACTAGTGGGGATGTGGGATGATAAGAAGGGGTAAAGGAACAGAAAAAATAAGCGGAGAATCAATAGAACTGACATGTTTTCTCCAAAGCTTTTTTCCCAGAAGCAAAGAAATTTTGGAAAAGGATAAAGTATTATATTTTGGACAACGCGACGTAATATATATGTTCTCGCTTTTAAAGAGACATGAAAATCCTATGTCGATTTTATCATACCTTTTTTATTTTTTTATCTATCAAAATAAACCAAGAGAAAACATTTTTGCTTCCCTTTTCTCTTCTTTTAATTTCATCTCCTCCTATTCTCTTTATTCTATGTTTTTTTCAAGAGTTTTATCCCCAGAAGCAACAAGAGCTATGCGGTCCGCATCATGGTTCGGGGTACGGGAACCGCCAAAACTTGGCATTATTCTATTTTTATCAATCCGGACGAAGCATAGAACCAAGAACTCAAGAAGTACTGGGCTTAGTTTCGAGGAAGAAATACCTGCATTTAAGATCCGATAGCGTGTTGAATAAGACTCTGCCTTTTATTCTTGCTTTAATTTGCTGAAATACCGAATACGAGAAGAGCTGTAGCTTTTTAATTAACATGCAAAATTATGTCGAAGGCATTTACCGTTTAAAAAATAAATTTGTGTCGTAGGCCTCCCAATAAATTCGCGCCTTGTTCTTCTTACCCTGCTTGTGCGCTCTTGTGTGTTGGATGATAATAAAAGCCTCCCTTTAATGGCATGCCTGCTTTAATTTCCATTCTTTATTTTCTTGTTCTATAAGAGGCGCCGCGATTTGGAATCTGGTTATTCAAATAAAACATTCAACCAATATATTTTGTAATAAAACTGAAAAGGAAAAAAAAAAAAAAGAATCACATGCTACCAGGCATATTTTTAAGGAGAAATGATATTTGTGTCTCAAATTTTTGTTTAATAGTGACGATTAAAGCCCAAATCATATTACTAAAGACGATCAATTGTAAATAAAAATTCAGATAATTATATGTATACATGATTTATGGTCACTTCTAATAATTTTCAAACAATATTCCTATTTACATATTACTACCCCCCACTTTATATTAGACTAGTTTGACATTTAATTTGGTTATAAATGTAAGACCTCAATCTATTTTATTTTTTATATTTGTTTATTTTTTTTACAAGTTTGTCCTTGTAATGGTTACATGTATTAAATGTTTCATCAAATGATAATTTTAACTAATACATACACATGATTAACGTTGATATATACACATGATTAACAATACTATTTTGTAAAAGTATTTAGTATAAATAACTAACTTAACTAATTTTTTTTAATATATTTAAATTATTCAACTAACTCTTGTATTAAAGATTGGGGATAGTATTTTTTTAGTAAAATTTGTTGATATCATCATTTTCTATTCAAGGTATAGTAATAAATATAATGTAATGTTCGTAGTGCTTCTTTGTCCCAATGAAAGAAGGAGATCAGTCAGCTCAGATCTGCTTTGCGTTGTTACCATTATCTATCTGGTAACATCCGATCGAACCTCGTATGATCAGGAAGGAATATAATGTCATTCATAACGGCCTTCGCGACTGTACTGTCACGACTCTAATCACTCTCTTACTTATCTTTGATGTCCTTCAAATTAATTAACAGCCTTGAAAACAACAAATTCCCAATAATAGTACAGCCTCTAATTGAATCGAGGCTATATATCATCCTCATTCCAATACGCAATGCAACTTTGTGTTTGCGTACGTCGAGGGCTTTGCTAGTAATCACAAAACAGGGTCGAGCATTTGTGGTACCACACACACACACACACACACGCACACAGAGAGAACCCCAGATTTCAGTGTAATCGGGCCAATGAAGTCTTCTAGCGCCACCAAGTTTCCCATGTCATACCCTTCTGGTTTATTTGTTTTGTGTTTGGCAACTACGTTGAACCCTGCGTTTGGCGCTCGAGTTTGTAAGTTTTCTGCAATCTTTAACTCCGGCGGCTCTAACTCTGACACCGGCGGCACGGCGGCCTCCTTTTTAGCACCGCAGGCACCGTATGGGCAGACCTATTTTCACAGACCTTCGGGAAAGGTCTCCGATGGCCTCCTCATCATCGATTTCATTGGTATTCTAACGCTTCATTAATGCCTTGCTCTTTGGTTAAGCAATTCTACCCGTGATGCATTCATTATTAACAATTTACCCCGCGCATTCTCATTTTGAGGATACCAAATTGTCTTTGGTTTTCTGCTTTGTTATATAATATTGCAGAATATGGCATACAGAGGATTCCAAGGTTCATGATTTTGACTTTGCATTTCGCATTCGATTTTAAGCTGCTTTCATTAATGATACTCTTTCTGTTATAAAGCCAACTGCATGTTTTGTTGGGGTATGAACCCAAATCTCATTCTGCACAATGGAATTTAATAATAGCAACGTATATAATTGTATTTTCCTATCAAAATGAAGCTGTTTTTAACCTTGATCTGTTTGTTTTTACGATTTCAGCACAAAATTTTGGACTCCCATATCTTAGTGCATATCTTGATTCTCTGGGCACCAACTTCACGCACGGAGCAAACTTTGCAACGGCTGGATCGACAATCAAGACCCCACATTGTGGCCTTGTCGGATACAGTCCTTTCTTCCTCGACCTGCGGTTCAATCAATTTGCAGAATTCAAAAACAAGACACAATTAATTAGACATGAAGGTAAATAATTTTTAAGTAACTCGAGTTTTCACTAGTCTCAGTAGTCTGTAACATATTATAACTTTATAAAGCTTGATGCATACAAATTAGCAGCCATGCATGAACAAGTACTCTGATTTTTCAGCAGGAGTATTTGGAAGCTTCATGCCCAAAGACAAGTATTTTGCAAAAGCTTTGTACACATTTGATATCGGTCAGAACGATCTGGGTGCTGCCATTTATGACAAACAAGACCCTGCAAGAAATCGATGCTTCTATACCAGATGTAGTCAACGGCTTGGCAACTAATGTTAAGCTAGTTTAATACCCGTCCCATTATTGTCTATTTCGATAATGCATTAATTAATGCCTGGCTTTTCACTAACATAATAAATTCTGTTTTTTTTTTCTAAATTCATGAACTTGGGAATCAGAACATATACAATCTGGGAGCTAGAAATTTCTGGATATATGACACAGGACCCATCGGGTGCCTCCCTTATATGTTGGTCAAGTCCTCATCAGCCCAACGAGACGAGCTTGGTTGTGCAAAGCCTTACAATGAGTTAGCTCAGAAGTCCAACCACAAGTTGAAAGAAGCCGTAGTTCAGCTTCGAAAACATCTTCCTCATGCCGTAATCATACATGTAGATATCTACGCTGTCAAGTACTCTTTGATCAGCAACGCAGAGAAATACGGTGAGCCTAATGAAAAATAATCGCTTTGATCTATTTTTATGTACAAAGGATATACGTGGTGACGTGGGTGGATGGATTTGCAGGATTTGAGAAGCCAACAGTGGCATGTTGTGGGTATGGAGGGGAATACAACGATGGGAATGTGCAGTGTGGAAGAGTAGGGATGGTGAATGGTACTGAAACATTTGCTGGATCATGTGAAAAGCCATGGGTGAGAGTGAACTGGGATGGGATTCATTACACAGAAGCGGCTAACAAGTTCGTGTTCAACCAAATCTCCACCGGAGCATTCTCTGATCCACCCATTCCCCTGACTATGGCCTGCCAAAGACATTTCAACAAGAAGTTTCACTACTAGTGTTTTGCTTCCAGGCTAGAAACTGATTGAGATAGTTTTGTTAATGCAGTCTGTGGATGTGTTTCAATTATATTTATGAATCGATCAGGGGCCGAGGGAACAGATATATGTGGGATAAAGTTGGAGACAGCAATGAGGTAATATAGTATTGATTGAAGGTTAGTGAATGCATTCGCTTATTTAAATTCACTTGTCATCAAAATGGGCTCAAACATGTGAATCACTTGAAAGATATCAGCATGACACGAGATCGTGGTCATCAAAATATTTTGCCGATTGCAGCTAATGATGCGGTAATGCGGAGGGTCAAATGAGCTGATGTTTTTGTTGTTCCTTGGGCGGCTAAAAATTGAAGCATCAATACCAACGCCAATAACTATTGATTCTAATGAAAAGAGCTGTGTTGGCTTTAAGCATGAGGCTTTGAATGTGTAAATATGGAAATTAAATTATTTCTGAAAAGCTCATGCCAATTGAATCTCATCACATAATACTTACTAGATCTCAGAAAATTATATTACTTTTAGATTCTAATTTAATATTCAATTTAATATTAAATATAAGATTCAATATACTTTATCTTTAATATTTATCTACTATTTTATCCTTAAGTACTCTCTATAATGGTTATATATATATATTAAAAAGTTACTATTAACTAGTAATTCAAACAGACATGATTAAAAAAATATCTATTTAAAAAATTAATTAATTAAGTCTCAAAAGTAGGAGTATATGACATGGGGTTGGTTGCAACTTGCAAGTTGCAACGACGGGGCCGAGAAGACGTGCGTCGGCAACCTCTCCACGGTGATTGCAATAAACACTGATAAAAAATGGGCGAACGCGCTAAAGAGCGAAAGGAATGGATGAACAGAATCCAATGCGACTGCTAAAACCATTCTAATGATCATCGGACTGCCTCTTTTTCTCTCTCCTTTGAGCGGCCCTTCACTAACTGCACTGACACTTTTGAAAATTACCGCATTCATTTAGTCTCCGGGCCTTTTCGTTAGCTGAACCGGCATTGATATTACATCTCTTCAATTATTTCCCTGTAA